AGACGCCTGTGGCGTGATCCCAGACCCTGACCCCAAGGCAGGAGTCCGCACCGTGTGGCCTGGAGGAATGAGTAGGATTTTCCCAGGCGGAAGGGAAACACGGCGGAGGAGGGGCTTCCCTCACTGTTGTAGCGGTTTCCGGTTTGCCAAAACTAGTATTAAACTTGAATTGTCTCCTGTCTGGTGGCGCTGGGGTTTATTCTTGTTCCTGTGTTACAGATGAAGAAACAGGGCGATTCCGAATCCAGATTTAGTTATAAGCTGTGTGACCTTGTGCCAGAAAGGGACCTGACCTGTCATTTTTCTCATTTGTGTAATAGAGATAGTTGTAAGATTTGCTTCATGTGGTTATGGGAATCTAATATCAGTTAATGCACTGAAAGGGTTTAGCACCATGTCCAACGACGGTAAGAGCTCAGTAATTGTTACTGTTCTTAATGTTATTGTTACGACCGACGTAACCTCCTGCTTCTAGCGGAATGTGGGTAGGGGTCACTGAACGCTATTGCTCCTGGTGCCCCATTCCAGCACACTTTATTTCACCCCAATTCAGTTATAAATTTTTTTCAGTGTCTAACGCAAGGGCTTTTAGATGCTGAGAATGATACACAGATGGATGAGACCTGATCCTCCCCCTTGAGGAACTAATACAGTCTGATAAGAGAGGAAGTGCAAGTTCATAAACTACTGTAATGCAAAATGAAATGAGACAGTGTCATAGGAAAGTTATTTTGCCTGGATTTTAAAGAAAGATATGCTGTCTAATTGGGAAATACTGGGTGGAATTGGGACTTTGGCAGTGGCCCTTGAAGTCTAAATGGATAGAATCAGAAGGTAGTGGAGGTTATGGACCTGAATTAAGGAACTGAGTTCAGGTGGCAGCTTCACAAGCTGAGGTCTGGTGGGGTAGGTCATGAAGAACTGTTGAAGGGAAACGGTACTTGGAATAGAGGTTCTCAGCCCTAGCCGCATATTGGAGTCACCTGGAGAGCGTGAAAAACTACTGAGGCCTGATTTACTTGTTCTAGTTGTGGCCTCAGTATTGGGATTTTAGAAAAACAATTCCTCAGAAGATTCTGATGTGCAGACAAGATGGAGAACACTAACCTAAAACCATAAACTGTATAAATTCCTCTCTCATCCCGTTTGTAGATGTTTTAACTGGAAGAGACAATAGCTTAAGCACCATATACTACCACCTGGTAAAACTGTTTAATATTAAATAAGGTAATGTAAAAGGGCCTGATACAGCACATAGGAAGTGCTCGAAAATATAAATTGATTCTGAACCTTATTCTTAGTTTATTTGGGAGTCACACATTGGAAACTCTAGTTTCAAAATTATGGCTTTCTATAACGTTTTGCATGTAATTGTAGAGTGTTCATAGGACTCCATAACCCACCTTGGACCACACTTCCTTTTCCTCTCATCCCAGTTAAGCCTAACTCTAATGCATTTAGAATAAAAGTTTGTGTGCGTGTGTATTCTTGTTTTGTTTTTAAATATTATTCTCCTATCAAAGTTACCCTAATCTTGAGTTTCACTGGCAGGGTTAATTCATGAGCAGGAGAAAGGAAAAACTGGAGGGAGATGGGAAATGAAGGAATAGAAGCAGCAGAAGAGAAAAGGAGGAGAAAACAAAATTTAAGAGGGTGTTTGTTATGGTGGGTGTCCTGTCCTCTCACATGACCTTGGTGTTCCTCCTTAGCTCCTCCCAGGGCTGAGGGCAGTCAGATAAGAAGGCCTCTGTCATTGCTGGGGACATGCAAATGTTGCTTTAACCACATGACTCAGCCTGTCCTAGGAGAGGAATATGCAGTTATAGATTAGGATTAGTTATATGTTAGGATGTGTTTGACTTAAGTGGTGATAGTGGAAATGCAGATTTGTAATTTGGAAAGGATCCTAACACCGTCTTTCCTGTTTCTTTTCTGCAGATGGCAGGATTTCCATGGTATATGTAGTATGAGTTCCACATCTCATCCTCTTACCCAGCTTCAACAGTCTCAGATCTACCAGCTGGAAAGTAAATGGGATTTGCATGAATTCCACACTGAACTGAAATACAGACTGCAGTGTTAATATCCTTTTCTTCTGATTGCTGTTAACAGGTACTAACTGATGTCAAACAGAACATGTCACTGTGTCTTAGACAGGCATGCAGCTTAAGCAGAGCCATTAGCTAACATCTGTTGGAAAAAAATTATTTTTTGAAAATTGAATTATTTTAAATGAATTTATTTATATTTTGTAGTGTGACCTTTTACAATGTGCAAAACCATGTCCTAACTTTGATTTTGTATATTTCAATTTTAAAAATATTTTAATTGAGAGGGAACATATTTGTAATTGTAGTCTAATATTGTAATTGATAGAATGGTAATATTTTTGTTGTTTCATTGAAGTAATTTTCACAGATTCTCATTACATATTTTTCCACATTTAAATTCTCTGAAATTTTGCTGTATCTTTTAGTTGTTACAATTAAAAACATTGAGTCATTCTTTAATTGTAACCTATTTCCATTCTTAGTATAATCTCACATAATGGTAAATCTTAAAATAAATAACTTTTTAGAGTTGACAAAAATTTGCTATTTCAAAAATTTAATATTTTGCTGTTTGCTCAGTTGTCTAACTTTCTTAGATAGTGCCTATGCCTGTAACATCCTCTAGCACAGGGTTTTCTTAACTGGGAGCAATTTTATCCCCGACCCCCTGGGACATTTGGCTATATCTGGAGATACAGAGATATTTTTGACTGTCACAACTCTTGAGGGTTGGGGGTGGGGGGGCACTATTGGCATCCAGTGGGTAGAAGCCAGGAAATGCTGTCAAACATTCTACAATGCACAACATAGCTCCCCCAAAACAGAAAGCGATTTACTACAAAATGTTAATGGTGCTGAGGCTGAGATAACCTGCCCTAGAAATTCTTTTTTTAAAATTCACTTATTTTAAAGGTCTATATCAAATATATTTTGACTGCTTTTATGAGCAAGGGACTTTGCTAGATGCAGCGGACGAGTCAAAGTAATTTGTGATTTGTACTTTTTCAAAAAAATTTTTAGGCTGGGCGTGGTGGCTCACGCCTGTAATCCTAGCACTCTGGGAGGCCGAGGCGGGAGGATCACTTGAGCTCAGGAATTCGAGACCAGCCTGAGCAAGATTGAGACCCC